TTAGATGTTGTAAAACTGGGTTTCCTTTCTTTTTATTATATTTTCATTTATATAATTATACTTGTGTGTAATTTTTGGTGCTTACGCATTAACGCAGCCTCCTTAGTAGAAGTCGTAAATTTTTTTGAATGTGCCTGACAGCTATGGTCATAACAATGCTTCACTTTTCACAAGCTACGTCGCCATTTCAATACATTTTTTAAACTATATTCCAAGTTTTGACAGTTTTTATCGATAAATAATGATATTTTTTGCCCTAATCTCAATCGTAAAATATGTGGTTTTGAAATTTACCGGCAATAGAAGGACCACAGTAAAAGTGCTGCGTGAATATAGTATTTTACGGTAAATTATTAAAAAGAAATAATAGTTTTTAATTCGTTTTTGCCGTTTTTTCATTTGTGTCGCCAGAAAATTTTCAGAATTAAAATTAAGAAATTAACTCCCCTTTGAAGAACTTATTCCATGATTATGGAGGCAAACGTTACTTATATGTAATACGTTGCACATAACGCGCTACGTAAAATAAATATCTCAGTTATAAGTCATCATTCCTTTTTCTTACAGAAAACAATTACCAGTGGTTGTAATAATACATGTATGCACCTTGATTTTTTATATTATTTTTTTTTTAATTTTCGAGCATGCTGACATATATAGGTAGCTCAGTTTCATAAAAATTCTCCGTAGCGCCACATTTCTAATCCTGATTAATAACAAATGTTCAGCAATACTCAAACTTGTCAAATGAAGCATCGCAAACAACATCTTCTTCACAATAAATAATTATATTCAGCACATAATTCAATATGTTGCATACTTATTACACACTCTTAAAAAACGCATAATATATCGTGAGGACACATAGAGTTCAAACTTTACATAGCATCCATGGGCACATTTATGGACAAGTGACTTTCTATTTCTCTCTTTCTCCCTCAATTTAAATTAGATACCCTGTCTCTATTTCTCTGCTTTTTTTTAAACTACGTTTACCATTCGTCTTTTTTTATTAGTATAAAGGGGCAATTTGCCCTGAAAAACTATTAATTTCTTTTTGGCATTTTGCGTCGAAAACGTTAAAAGGCTATATCACTTTTCAGATTGTTTCTACCATATATTATCGCCCTGTCTTATATTTAAAGTAATTAAACAATGAAGAATCTGCATAAATGTATGTATGTTTCTCGCACTGTGATAATACAACGTTTCCTAAAGCCATCAAAATTTGAATTACGTATTATTCCATAGAATATGGGCATGTGGAAGCCCCTAATTTGAATTTGAAATATATTTTATTATCGATTTCAGATTTTGTGACACTTCATCGAATTTTTGATTAAAAACTAAACGATTTCAAAGCGAGCAATGGCAACACTATACGAAGAAAAAAACATATTTTATCTCCAGCGTGCGAGACTCTGTATCGGAAATTCTATATTGCTGTTGAACTGAATTTTATAGTTTGAGTAGAACATGATATTTAAAAAATAAAGGTAACACACAAAACGTTAAAAAAAACGTTTGGAAGTAATTTAAAATATGATACCTTTCAGGTTTTTCAATTTTTTTAATTTATTTTCCCTCCTATCTTTTTTACCCGGGCTTTCAAATTAATATTAAAAAAATGCAAAATTTTCATTTATCCTCAGAAATCCTCTGTCCATATAACTAAGCTTTCTTTACGCCTAGGCTTGATTTTTCGCCTGAGGGCAAAAACCTTAGACGGTGCAGAACAAGACTTCTATTTATCTCTGTCTGACAGTAACTGAACCGTCTTCTCAAATATCTGCTTATTATCTGTAAAATCTGTAGGAATTTTCAAATTTTCGTGTTTTTTTTTTTTTTTTTTTTTTTTTTTTTTTTCTTTAATCAAAAGTTACACAGATAAAATTACTTTTATTTTCGTAAAATTATGTACAGATCACTATTTTTTGAAAAATTAAACCAATGTATTAGTTTATATTGTCCACAGAAAGACTCGTGCATGTTTTTAAATTTTTTCATGAGAACACTTGAAATTATGTTTACAGATAACACAGTTGAATTTACAGTTTAATTCATTAATTGCGAGGTTTTAACACATGAAATGGCTGTTGTGCCGTTTATTGTCTCTCTACAACAATGCAAGGTAGTTAATGTTACATGGTATAGATGGTGACACCAGAAAATGCTTTAATGAGAATAATTGACAAAATACGATCTCAGTTACTGTCTTCAGAGCACAAATTTTATTAAATGACTTACAGTATTTTTTTGTTTTTGCTCATTGTGAATCAGTATACGTTTTAGTCATATTTATAGTTAAAAGAGTTCTTCAAATATACCATGAAGGATCAGAACCACATGAAGACATTTTCGTATCATGATAGATTGTATTCCGATTCTTTTCAACGTTGTATTATAGCTTATTTAAATACCTTTTTTACCGGATAGCTCATTTAAATACATTTTTCACCTCTGTCGCCCCACCGAGTGTGGGGCCTTAGATTACCCCCGTGTATTTATCTTTTTAACCTGGCATTGTGAAGGATTATTTCATACTGCTTCATTTTGGTGATCCTTTAATCTAGTAGAAGGTAGGGCCTTAGGTGAGTGTAGGCTCATTGAGTATAGGGCCTTAAGTGACCTTCCGTCTAGTTCTCTTTTCAATCAGGCCTTGTGAAAGATTATTTCGTATCGTTTTATCTTAGTAATGCTTTAATATAGTAATAGGTATTTTAGTTATTTAATCCAATACAAATAGTTGATTAAGAAGGACTTTTATAAATTTCCAATTCACTTACCGGTTTATTTTAACCGAGCGATAGCATTTTAATTTATTTTATTGAATTGGTTGCTTACTTGCTTGTCTATTTATGATAAAGCACTGGAGGGTTATCTAATTAAGAAACTGGAATGAAATTGGTTCTACTGAAATTTAAAAATATTGTCGAAAAATAACAGGTACTCTTACTAACTAAGCTAAACAGAAGTCTTCGTATTTGGCAGGAAAACGGGAAAATGCCTGTATGAAGATCTGCTTAAAGGAAATTGACTTTATGTTACAGAGGGGGAAAAACGTGTAAGTTTGATGTAGTCATCTTATTCTGCCATCAAAAACCAAACCATGAAAACTCATCAGTGTTCTGCGGCCTGGGACGCTTCTGGCTTTTTAAATAATTGCGTTTGATTTACGAAGATTAAGAAGAAAGAGATGTTTTTCTGTAGCTGCATGCTCCATAAAACCTAGGTATGGGCATTCTTTGCCTGGGTCTAGGTGGATCTCGCACTGGTGCATTGTAGCTAAATATGTGGAATCTCTTTCCTTTATAGTTCTCATTGCACGTATACTTTGAAAGCCTCGATATACCTCGATGGATTAGCACTATTAAATGGCTTATTAACATGCTTTTTGGCGCATTTGACACCCCACTGAGTATTGCGTCCTGGCCGGGCTTTTGTGTTCTCTAAGCAAGAGAAAAATAGAAGTTGTTGCCACTGCACTTGCGGGAAATATCTATTTCAAGCCTTGTGAGATCCAATGATAAAGGATAAATAAGGTCCTCTTTTGTTAAATAAATGCAAATGTCTCCACCTGGTATTAATTTATGATGGAATAATATAAAAGCAAGTTTCTCCTATCATTTCGTTTTACTCTTTTGAAGAGTTCATGTTAAATATAGTGGAAATTCCATCATCAGTTACTCCTTTAGCCGTTATTTTCTACTATCCGTCAGCTACTGTGACAATGTAATGGAAAAATTAATATACCAAACCTCCAAAAATAAATTTAAATATAGAACTAAGTACACTATTAATAATTTAAAGAAGGCTACACTGTCGTATAATAAAAATAATTGATTTTACTGCCAAATAAAATTACACATTAAAAATATTTCTATTAAAGTGTATGTTCAATAATTATGCTTATTGTGTTCATCATGAATAATGAATTAACCGGTCAGTTTGTAAATCTTCATGTGCCAGTATAAAAGTTTCAGCCGAATTTTTTTCGCGTTGGATAACAAAGAGAAATAATACTCAGAGCATTGCGGATGAGTCATGTTAAAGATACATCATATTTACAACGTCGTGGCTTGAAACTCTATTTGTTTTATTTCAAATGTTATATTTTTGTTGTACAAATTAGTAAATAAGGAAAAGAATTGAAATATTGCCAATTTTTAACGCTAATCATAATTTTTACCCTTGATGCATAAAGTATTATTATAAAAGACAATTTTTTATTACTTGCTTGAATCGAATGGTAATAGTGATAAGAATTTCATTATGCTTCTGTTGTCTTACCCGTCACGGAAACGGTCCCGCGTTTGATACATGATTATTTCACTATATAGAAATTTATATTTGGTATGTCTCTGGAATTTCTAAAGCTCATTAAAGCCCTAACATAACTGCTGAACTTAAACTGTTTCAGGAATTAAATTGAAATGAACAAAGATTCAATAAAATAAAGATTTCAACTTTTTATAAATTCTTGTATTTTTTGTTTACTTAACTTATATATTGATTTAATTTTGATATTTTAATGTTATCAGCTTCTGCAAGGTGTTAATTTGCAAGCTGAAGTTTAAAGTAGAGATATCATTTTTATTTATTTATTTCCTATTACCCCTGTAATCTTGCGTGTACAGACAATATCTGATAAGGTAGTTACTGCGGATAATCTGCTCTCTTGATAAAATTTAAGCCCAAAATAATATTGTATTCAGAAATGTATTTCATTTATACGCATCAGTATCTATCCCATGGTATTTTATACAACCAATCACACCTATGCAATAATATTTTTTAACCGTATTTTAAATTTACACTGATAATTAATAAATTCTTTGATATAATTCATAATTATGAGTAATTTTTATTTCCATCTTAAAAATTAATTTTTTACAAAGACTTTTGAGTTTCAAGCTTCAAAAATAACCGTTTTTATTACGATATTAATACTTTTACCCCCTCAGATTTTAAATGTAAAAAGTGAAAAATATCAAGACAGCTTTAAAGGTAATATATATATAATTTATTTTATTTTTTTACACAGACAAAATTGGCAACTATTATTTTTACATGTTTTTTAAACTTGTAGTTCACATCTGACTTAGGATCACAATGAATTCTTCAAGCGAAAACTAGTTTTTGCAGCTTGAAGCAAAATAAACGCAATGGGGTCAAGAACTTTAAAAGTACATAACTCTTTTGAATAATTGCATTTGTTTTTTCCAGAAAGATGTTGTTTTGAAAAAAACTAGTGCAACCTAATGGCATTGAAACAGTATTCGCAATAAAAAAGAAAAATCATTTTGTTTCAATTTTAGTAGAAGCAAATAATACTGTAAATGCTCTCACAGAAAAAAAATTGGCAAAGCTTCAAGAAGTAGAAAATGCTAATAGGTCTGTGATAGCTTTTTTTACAGAAAAAAGAGTCAGCAAATCATATATATTGTCTTCATTTTTGCTTTACTTAGCGCTTTGGCATCTCAAAAGGTATTTAATTCGCATAACCAAGGGTAGTTTTAACCACTGAAATCATTCAGAATTAAACTGTAGCCATGCGTTGGATTGGTTATCAACAAAGAATATCGCAGTTCTTTTTGTAATATTACTGTAAACGAAACGTTATTCAATAAAAGAAAGATAAGAGAGGCAGAAAAATAGACTAAATTAAGAAAATGAAAAGAAATTCATGTTCCTTTGCGACAGAACCAAAGACAGTGACAAAGAATAGAAAGAATTGGAAGAAATTTTTCGAAATGAAAGATTGAGGAAAATAATGGATACTAAATTTTAAACATTGCTAATGAAGTTTATAAAAAAACAAACTAAATACACAAACAAAATTCTTCTTAACACAAGAAAGGTTAAAAAAAAAAGGAAGTGCTCTAAATTCCAGCAGAGAATAATTAGAAATAAACTAGATGTTGGCGAAGAACAAATATGGGGAAATATGTTCCAGTTCAGTAATGAAAAAAAAACCCCGTAAATTAAAAAAAAAAAAAAAAAAAAAAAAAAACATTATGATGTTCTTTCAAGATAACCAATTTTCCAACTATTTTCATACGAAACTTGCGTAACAAAGACACGAAATGAGAAAGAGCTCGTCAATAGCATTTCCTGTTTACCGATATGCAGTAATTTGTTGATAGAACAGAAGTTCTCTGAAAGCAAATTAGCAGCGCAACACTTGTTACTTTTTTAGACAAAAATTCGTTATTACTCTAGGAGCAACCTAGTTTCGTTTGGCGGTACCGATATTGTAAGACAATCTTTCGACATCAATATAAGGGGGAGTGTCCTGATAATAAGGATCGTCCTTTCTGGGATCATAGTGGCCACTGCTGGCAGCTGCTTGGGGTGCTGGTCTATACTGTTGCGCTGGTTCTGGTCTGTATTGCTGAGCTGGTGCGGGTCTGTACTGCTGTGGAGCATTGTAAGATTGAGGAGCAGGGGCGCTGTACTGTTGAGGAGCTGGTTGATAGGCCGGAGCACCTCCGTGGGGCTGGGGAGCGGGTCCGGGCCGATACTGGGCTATAGCCACAGACAGCAAAACACAAATAACCACCTGGAAAGAAAAAAAATCAGAAACTTCAGTGATGACATTTTTACATTGATTCACGTTTGGGGTCACCTTGACCGCGGTGCCTTGTCATTAAGTTACCAGCATCTTTATACGAGTCAGTAAATGCTCTCTAAAGCAGTGAGGCATCACAAATATGCCGGAACCTTCATGAATATTAGTTTTCAGTCTGAGAAAAGCAATCTTAGTTAAGGTTCAAACCTCATCATGCTGGCGTATCTTTATACAAGGTGGTTAATTTGCTTTTCTAACTAATAATCTAACAATAGCCCTTAAAGTTTGCTATTTTCAAGTTTAAAACCGATTGTATGTAGATGCCGACACATTTTGCCAGGTTACTTCTGTACTGTTTTTTTGCCTTGGAGAAGAGTGACTAACCTGTATAAATGCTCCAGCCTTTTAAGGCGGGCACTATAACGTATTGGTGCTCATGTTTCAAATAAATTATAGTTTAAGTGGGCTAGCGTTTTAACTTTAAAATCACTTGATCTATCTCTTTATTATAATGAGATCATAATTTGTTAAAATAGCTTATATTATAATTATATGCTGCATTGTAATGAGATACAGGTGAAGGGAACATAATGATTTTTCTTCAGTAGACAGAGGAAAATGAACTGTATATTGATTAAAAAAATTTAATAAAACAGATAACGATGCAGTTGCCAGCCTGGAAAATTCAGATTACCGTATAACATTCTCAACGAACAGTTTACTGTTTAAATTTTTTTAACAAACAAAATGCATAAAAAATTTAAAAATATAAAATTTTATGCAAAAAATTATCCTTTCTTCTTAGATAAAAATAATACATAAAATATAATTATTCGAAGTTGAACATTGGTAGTTCGACTAAAGTTAGAATCTTAACAAACTAATTGAATGGTTGTTTTCTTTCTTTTTCCTATGTGTAACGTGAATACAAGCTATTTTCTTTTAAAAGTACTCTTGAAGACCTTCCTGCCTCAAGCGAATCTAGTATATTTCGTGAAAATCAAATAATTTAATTCAATAAGTAGTCCAGTTTCAGCTCTGTATTTTTCTCAGTGAACCGCTTGAGCAAGAGACTTATAATAAACATTCCCATAAGTGAAATGGCAACAATTTATTTTTAATTTTTTATATTAATTTTTATTTATTACGAATTTCCAAAATTAAAAATATAATATTTCAGTTTGTAAATACTTTTAGTTTAAAAATTTTAGATTACGCTCTAACTCCTCGAAGAAAATGGTAATGAATGTTTACGATTATTTTTACTTCCTTGTACGAAGTAAAAAGAAAATATTGTAATCGCAAAAAGTTTCAGGTAGCATATTTCAACGAAAATATCCAACTTGACCGCTATCGAATGCAATTTAACGATGTTTTTGCGTGATATCTGTACATAAGAACAGAATAAAAGATTCTTTTCCTCCAAAAAAATTTTAAAACTGATTTAAAATGGATTCTGAAGATAATTTTTCGCGGCGTCTCTACGTACATACGTACGTATCTCGCATAACTCAAAAAAGAGTAGCCTTAGAACATTGAAATTTCGTATATAGGACTGCTATAACATGTAGATGTGCGCCTCATATTATGGTTGCAATCGGCAGCACCAAACGTATATAAATATATTTACATACTTATCCACTCTGTTACCCGGTTCAGTGATCTCTTATATGTTTGTAAATTGTCTTATACGTTTGTCTCTCTTTACTTTTATATGTTTGTAAATTGTGCATTTTTTGCTTTAAAAATGAATTGAATTTTGTTGTTCCTATCTTCTGGTTAAGGTTTTTCTACCTTTAGTAAATCTGCAAGTAATATTTGTACAATTATCAACAATTTTAAAGTTGTTTAAGTGCTGCTAAGCCTAATAGTTTCTTTGATGGCGGCCATTGCTTGTTTATGTTTGAAACAGCAGAATAGTGGATTTGTTGCCAATTTAGAGAAATTTAGCTTCGCAACCACAAAGATAACGCCTTAATTTTTATTATTGCATTCATTTATTATTCATTTATTATTAAATCATGCTTAATCCTTTCTGGAATTTTTTCGAGGAAATAAGTGTTTAAGATTTAACTGAATTAACTGATTTTTTAAGAGCTGAATTAACTGAATGCGAAATACTCAATCGCCTGTGAAAAAATTTTAATTTTGTTTTGTTTGCTTAATTTCTTTTATACATCGTTCTAGCATTATTATAGTATTTGAATAGAACATGTGGTAACGATTAGATAATTCTTTAAATTATATAATTTTGTGCATTCTAGGATATAGAACAAATATAATATGTTAGTGAACCTACGCCAGAGTGTCGCAGGAACAAGTGATTTAAGAATGGATTTATTCTGTGTGTTTATGCTGTCGGAAGTAGATTATTCATAATTCAATGAATGCAAAAAAATGCGTTAATTATATCTACAAGACTGTGGGTACCTCAAATTTTTTGGAGCCCGGTATTGTCACATTCTTGCCACTAGGTGGCGGGCATCTCTTCCTTTACTTTTGCTGTAATTAAGTTCCGAGAAGCAGTCGAGATTGGAACCGCTTGAGGAGCGTAAAGACTCAGAGTTAAAAATGTACTGTCTTAAAATAATTATCACCTACCTTGTAAATAGTGTATATTAGCTTTTTTTTCAATAAATAATTAAAAGACAAGATGGCCTGCTAATTGTAATAGAAACTCTTACTGGAAAACGTGATTATTAGAAGCCTGGCGTCGAGAACACTGAAGATGATGCAGCAGGTAAGGAATTTTACATTAATTTTATTGTAAATAGAAGAACCTGATGCAACATTTTTATGGCGCCCGAACAGGGACGCCAGGTTTTTTGAAAAGTTCTAATAAAGTGAATTCAAAAGCTGAATATTAAAATTGAAGATTTTAATACTTGTTCTTGAAGTATTCAGCAAAAGAATAATTTTTGTTTTCTAAGTAAGAGTTAAATATTTGTTTTTCATGAGACGTATATTTTTTGTGTAAATGTTTGAATCTAAGAAAGATAATGGCTGAAGTAGATAAATTAAAAAAGAAAAGAAGTATCTTAAGAACTGCCGTTACAAAACTATTTAAGAAAATCGAAAGTGAATTAAATAAATCTGAAGGTAGTATTAATGAGCTCGAAGAATTGTTAGAACAGCTTAATGCTAAAACCGAAACGCTATCTAATGCCGATGTGGAAGTTGAACCAATTCTGAGTGTAGATAGAAAATGAATTCGAAATTACAGAACAATATCGCGAGAAGATAACGTTATGGAAATTCAGGCTTAAGAAACGGATTAAGGAACTTAATCATGACTTAAATGCACCGAACACACAGCAAAATATAAAAGATACACCTAATGTTAAATTACCAAAACTTTCGATTCCCGTATTTTATGGGAACAGTAGTCAATGGCTTACTTTTTGGAATAGTTTTGAGTCCTCAATACATAATAACGAATCATTGAACAAAGTAGACAAATTTAATTACCTGAAAGCATATTTAGGAGGAACAGCTGCTAGCTGCGTTCAAGGACTTCCGTTATCGCCAAAACATTATGATTCAGCAGCAATTCAAATCTTACACGACCGTTTTGGAAGGAGAGACATTCTTATTAATGCGCACATGAATAATTTGCTGAATATTGAATCATTAAAAAATGCGAATGACATAAAAACATTTCGTAACTTGTATGATAAAGTACAAACGCAGATTAGATGTCTCGAAGCGTTAGATGTTGTATCGGAATCTTACAGCGCTTTGCTGTGTCCGATGATTTTGAAGTTATTGCCTTCAGAATTAACGCTTGAATTTCATAGAACACAAAATGTTGGCACCGATTATAACATAAAAGATTTAATGTCATTTTTACACACGCAGAACTTTCATCCCGCGAACGCACAAGGTCAACGGTTTCGCAACAGCAAAAAGTATCCGATCGGCGACAGTCTTCTTTCCCCCCCTGCAACGAAAAGCGCATATGGTTTCTCTCAAATAGACATAATAAACCAAAGATTCCGACCGCTACAGATTTGTTTACAAAATCCGAATGCAGAGAGGAAAATATGAACTGCGTCTTCTGTAATCAATTCCACAAGATTATGACTGTAGTTTCGTTTCCGGCTTATCATTACAAGAAAAAAGGGACATTTTAAAAAGAAAATGTGCTTGCTATAAATGCCTAAAATTACACCATTTGGCTCAAAACTGCAGAACAAAAATAACTTGTTCTATTTGTAAAAAACAACATGCAACTATTATGTGTAATAAACAAAATCCTTCTGTCGAGGTTTCGGAAATTAAAAAAGACGAACAGATAGAAAATAAAGTACTTTCAAATCAAGCAGGATGTTCAGAAGTATATTTGCAAACTTTAATTGTTCGCATATATGGAAGAGGGAATAACCAATTTGTTCGAGCGATAATTGACACCGGAAGTCAAAACTCATACATAAGCAGGTATGCAGCAGAAAGGTTACAATTAAGAAGCTTAGGTGAACAAAGTGTAACCCACGGACTTTTCGGTGGCATAGAAGTTTCGGAAAAACATAAACGTTATAGAATAAAATTTGGGTAGCGTAGATAAACGGTATAATTGCGAAATCAATGTATTGGATGAAAGAAAAATATGTTCTTCGGTCCCTAAAATCAAAAATATACACTGGATTAGGGAACTTAGAAGAAGAGGAATTTACGTCAGTGATGTTTTTGAAAATTGCAGATTATTCCAGGAGAACCCCCAAGAGATTCATTTGTTGTTAGGGGCAGATGTTGCTGCAAATTTATTTACAGGTAAAATCGAAGTTCTTCCTTGGGGAAGATTAGTTGCTGTAAGTACAAGACTTGGGTGGACAGTCATGGGGAAAGCGAACACTGACAATTATGAAATAGAAAATTCCTTTTCCACGCTTTCGTTATCTTTACATATTTCTGATGCCACGTCTGTCAGAACTGTGGAGGCTTGATGTTATCGGAATAACAGATCCAGTTACAAAGAAGGCTAGAGAGGAAAG